GACTCGATAGATTATAAGCGCCACACTTCGTGCTGTTTATTTGCTGTTTGCACGATTTATTATCAGCAAGTCATAAATTTGATTTTGCTTCTCTACAGTGCGCGTACGCTCACAGCACCACGCCACACAGCGATCCACACACGTAAACACTTATCGCATAAAAATTTTTACTCTTTTATGGTCAGCTAATCAATGCAGCTGCGAAAATTTTCGTGAAAAAGTTCTTTCAGTTTTTGTGACTTTTTGTGATGATAACAATTTTTGATCTTTATTGCATTTCGAAAAGCGTCTTTACTAACGGATTACTGTTAGCATTCGGGATTTAAGAATTTCATAAAATAATTTTTTGCGCGGTTATATTTTTAAGAAAAAGGTTGAAACACTATCAGAAAGACGAAAATTTAAAGGTGGAGCAGTGATGAAGACGAGAGTGAAATAGTGAACAGTTACGAACTGTTGCGTCGCTTTTTGGCCCAACAAGAAGAAGCGCGTTTTCAGCGTCGGTTAGAAAAGGTGTTGGTTCTTTTATCACTTTTTTTATTGCTTTGTGCATTTTATATTAGATTTTGCAAAAATTCTGCAAAAAGCCGGCAAGAACTAACAAAATATATGCTCTGTATGATCTTAATATCAGAAAGTGCAGAGTGATGTAAGTGATTGGCATACAGTTTAAAGATACTCCAGAAATTATGTGATGTAGCTGATATTCCAATGTGAAGAATAGTGGTCCGATTCCGTTGCAGTTTATAATAATTTGCAAAAAAGGTCTCCGGCCTCGACACGAGTGTTGTTTGTACATACAGCGAGATATGTCTCTTTCCTTTTGATATTTCCAAATCTAATAATTCCGAGAAAAAAAAAGAAAAATGTGGGTTAAAAGAAAATGTCTCCATTGTGTGTTTTTTAGGGCTTTCCGCAAAACAAATATCCTAATGATCATTTTCCTAATGAGCATTTTCGGTTCATTTGACTGGGTAAAATAGAATTCAAGTTGAGAACGTCCTGCACACTTTTGTTCGTGATATGAGCGAAAAAAGCAGAATTGCTGAGAATTTTAATTCTCTGCTATTATGAAATGAGGCTATGCAGTCAAATTTCTAGCTGCTTTCCCTTCTTCGACATCGGAACCGCACAAAATAGATCACATAGATGGAAATATTTCAGTTTGCTTTTGTATCAGGAACATTTTAGCCAAAAACATTGGGACAGAGCTGTACAAAAATGCATGCTTGCGCCGGTTTTTTATGTGTTTTTGCTGTGCAGCGCAATAGCTGTGCTAAATGAGCAAAAAGGCATATTGTCGAGAAGCCGTCTGTGTGTGCATGTATTTGTGTTTATGTATATGATCGTTCCCAAGCGAGTGAAGTTTGTCACCCACTTCCAACTTAGCAATCAGGAAAGCTAGGAAGCTGAAATTTTTGAGGGCGTATCGCCAATCGTGTGTAACCTTCCCGTTTTAAAATTATTCCTTACATGCGTCTAGATCTCGCTTACGCATCCCCGAAAAAAATACGCAAATTTCTTTGGCGAGAAACGAATTCGGGAGCCGAACAAGATAGAAGGCTGAAACATTTCAGTATTCTCTCTGCATGTATGAGCTAAAGATTTCAAATTTAGCTATCGCGTACGCCTACACCACCTTACGTCAGAGGTCGCAAATTGGCACTGTGTCAACTCGAAAACCAGCCGGAAAACAAGAACTGAGACTTTGTCAGAATATTTATTGTTCATATACAACATCGTATTCCTAAATCGAGTTCGATTTCACTTGCGCCGCATCTTAAGACAATAAATATTTGTAGCGAAGCAGCTATTTCGCTTGCCAGGCAAGCTGCGAAACTTAAGCTTCGCAAAGATATTCTCTATCCATCTGTGGTCTTGATTCAGCTTGGAGGTGAAATTTCCTTGACAGGAGCAGGAGAAATACTCAGTTTTGTTGCAAACTCAAAAGCGACTGCGTGTGGCGGGTTTCATAATCGTTTTGTTTCGGTATCCTGTGTACTTTCAAGTTTGCATTTTTTGATAAAGGTTGCTCACCAGGAAAACGATCAAGCTTCATGTAAACAATCATGCGTAATGTTGATTCGCGTCACCACGTGATGCAACAGTGCCATCCTAGCCGGTATGCAAGAAAATACTCAAACACAGCCAAAATATGTCAACATGTGAAACTGTAACATAGGAATCAGTCATGCTATAAACGATCTGACCGCTGCAAGTCTAGCTCAATATGTGGCAGAGTCTCGTTTCAGCTGTCGTCAATAGACGAAGAATCAGGATTGCTGTTGTCAGATGCTAATGACAGCAGGGAGCCCTCGAGCGGCAAGAGAATGATCAGTAATCCGCCACGACAACTTAAATACAGGACTTTCAAGAGCGTACGTTTTTTATACGAATTTTTTGTATATGTCAAAGTACTAAATCTGGATAGCCTTGGCATTAGGTTTGGCTATCTTATGTCAATGGTTTTGACAGAAAGCTCCCACACTCCGAGGGCAGCTGTGCCAGATCTTTTGTCTTTGACTTGCATACCTCTAGTTAATAGCAAACGGCTGCTCGATGTATGCGCACCATTTCTTCATAGCTGGTCCGAGTGGTCCTTAATTCCTTATGGGTACGATTCACTGACGCGCCGTTTCTACCGATTTTCGACAAAACAGGCAACACGTGTGCTAACTGGATTTTATTTTCTTGCTTGTTCGCAGTAATGCCCGCACACTGTTCATCTGTCAGACGTGCGACTGCAATGATACATGCACCCATGCATAAACACAAACAGCCTCGTTTTCGCACTGTTCTGCAATTAGTCGTAATAGCGGTATGCTTCTGCTAATCCACTTTTTTAAGATAACTAAATTCACCAGAAAGTCGCTTTGTACTGCTTTGAAGGAGCATCTGAATGGATTGTTTTCAGTCACAATCTTTATCGGAAAATCTCAAAGAAACAATGATGAAGCTTCATAAAGATGAGCGGCAGCTGTCACTGTCATCATTTGAGACTTGCAACTTTGGTCACAATTGTATCCGATCACCATGTTCTCCTGTGGCTAGTCCCAGTAACTGTACACTTTATTTCATTTTTTAGCACATCAAGCCATGTTCAGTTCTATTTTGAATTTATCACGAACTTACGTAATTTGTGTCAAAAAATGAACAATTTACTGTTTTTTTGCAGATCCTAGTCATTAAAATTGCTATTCCAGTAGGTCAGTTTACAAAATTTTATTGGAATCCCATGCCAAATAACTTGCTGTTAGTTCATCATTTGCAGATGATCTAAAGAAGCACAAATTCCATCTATTCGAAGCGGATATGCCAGAATTACCCTATTATAACAAATATAATGCATCACTCCGAAGCTCGGACGATTACAATGCAGTCCACTACAAACGTTCAATCAAAATTCTTTCAGTTTTTGTGCTGTCTTCTACAGTCATCTGCCTGCTTACTTTGAAGACCGAAGGAGGCCTTACAAAGGTTTTTTAATATTTTAAAACTGCTGCGGCTTCTTTCATCCACGGACCAGTTATTTTACCTTGCTTATAGCAAACAGTAGTATAAAAGCTGAGGAAAAGTGTGGAAATACGCTGTAAGAAAAAGAAAAGGAACTGCAATGAGTGCAGTTGGCCAAAACACAGTTTGCATTTCAATGTAAGTTCGCACGCATGTGTATGCAGTATTAGTCATTGTATCTTGCCATTAAGCAACCTAACTGGCAGTGTACACCAAAGTTTCCGACACGATCATGCGCTTTTGCATTAGTCTTAAAGCAGCCAGTTCGTTAACAGCCGGAGTTGTTCTTGTTTTACAGTTTAAAATGTTCACTCATGTTGGCAATTTTTTTGGTCTTTTCTTACACGTACGAGGAAAGAGGCCTTGGCTGGGAGGAAAGTGTTGCAATGTAGGGCCAAACGAAATCTCAAATTCCAGCATGTACGATTAGCATAATGATTACAGCAACCACTAAAATTCGGCTCGACCGAGCTGCAGTGACCAAGGGTGGATGCAGAGAGTTGGAAGCTAGCATTTTTAGCTGTACGAATGGTTGTTGGTTTGCAATCTTTATATTTTAACATAGCATTGATGATTTTTCAGCTATACTCATTGCTACCTGCTCTGGCAGCAGTGGTTGCGCTAGTTACTGCTGTGATATCTGCATCGCGAATACCAGTTAACCCAGTGAATAGCGAGAGGCGCTGCAAGACACTTGCTTTTCCATATCTCACTTTCTTCAACATTTTTCTCGCCATACTACTGGTTTGCACTGCTGATTACGGTACAGTTGCCAAGCTGACTGTATGGATGATTCTCGGTCAGTGTTTGTTTAGTTCATTGGGTCGAAAGCGAGCGTTGGCCTGTTTCACACCGGAGGTTTCGAAATCAGTGGGTTTGAGTGGAAATTTTGGAAAGTTGTGACCGAAATTTAGGAAAGTATGCTTAATACTCCACATAAGAACCGCCAAATTATAGAGGAGTGAGAAAACGGGCTGAATAAGTCATAGCTCAAAATTAAATCCGATAAAAGCGTTAAAATGGAAAAGAATTGTTTTGGTGCCACTGCAGTTGAGTTGCGCCAAAATGCTAACAGTTTATACCTTCATTGCCCTCCTTTTTCTAGTTCCTCTATCTTCTTCTTATTGTACAGCTTCAAGACAAAAGCGTACAAGAAAGCCTTGGAAAGAACATTTTTAGCTTATGTAAAGTTTTTGTTTTTGGATCAAATTAGTCGAACTGTTTAACTGCAGGCGTGGTGATTTACGCATTGTACGGTTATCGACATAGCAGAGAAAGCTTTGAAAAAACGGATGGCCTGATCATAACGAACATCAT